GTCCAAAATGGTCCCTCCTTCCTTCCCTGTGCACAGTGGGCGCAGGGAAGGCAGCTCTGTCCCCTCTTCCCTGTGGTGCTCAAGCCTCCGCCAGCGACTGCCCCAGCAAGGGAAGGCAATGGCAGGAACCCGCTGTTGTCTCTCCATCACCCAGTGGGGTTTGCACTAGGAGGGACTGTGGACCCTGCCCATGTGCTGCCCCCCCCCAGCTTTGGGGGAAGAAACAGCAGAAACAGGAGGCAAGTCCTCTGCCATGGTCTGGATGTGGGGCTTGCATTGTTGTCTCGCAGCTGGGCAAGGATGAGGACCAGCGCGTTGGTGGGACTGTGTCCCCTTAAGTCTTGTCACCTCAGCAGGTCACTAAACCACCCAGGGAGCAGAGCAGCCCCTGGTCCCCAGTGGTGGGGGGCTGGTGGCACCAGCAGTGGTGACCATCCCAGCCGACCACAAGCACTGGCAGTGAGGACACGGCTCCCGCTTCCTTCTCGATGTCATCTGCAGCAGGTGCCACCCCTCCAGGGGCCCAACTTTGGCTCCAGGGAAGGCTCCTGACCCCTGTGTGCCCAATTCCTGCCCTGAAGCCAGGGCAGGGTCTCCGAGGCTGCGGCTCAGCCATCCTGCTGGTGGCAAAGCCAAATCAGTGAACCCCTGTGGTGGCCAAACCTGGCCGCGGTCGCTGAGCCGAGCCTGCTGCCACCAGGGCTCCCGCTTTCATCTTGTCCTTTCGTTATCCTTTTGTGTGCGTCCAGATGGGAAGATACCAAAAGATTTCTAGAGACAGAAGGTCCATAGTTCAGGTGAACAGATGGTATTAATGCCAAAAAGAAAAGAAATATTAATAATGAGAACAACACAACCAAACACCCCTCTTCTCCCTGCTCTTTCTTTCGGTGGTGGTGATGTGGGTACCCAGCGCTGGGCTCCTCCTCTCCTCCTCCACGGCCGGGCTGGCACTGGCTGTATTGGTACACAGCGGGATCTGCTGTGGTGGATGTGGAGCTGGTCTCGGTTTTGAGCACTGCTCCATCCTCCCAGTACCCTGGGTTGACTGTGCCGGGGTCCTGGCAGCAGCACCCTGGGAGCTGTGGTTTGGGTCGAAAATGCCACACGCAGCTTTGGTTCAGGGGGTACTTGTTTGTCCCCGTGCATCACCCCTGTGACATCCCCAGGAGGCTCTCGGCTCTGTGGCAC